CCCCTTCTGTGCTTTCGCCCCCACACTGCCCCTTTTCGTTCTACCGCCCCCCTGAAAAATGAAATCGCCCCCTGGGGGGCATTATTGCCCACGTTAAGAACCACTGTCATATTCTAAGAGGTAGAAACAACTACAACCAGTTTTAACCACTCCAAAGTAGGGGCTCAGAAATGGGGAAAAAAACAGTGTAAAAAGTCAAGATGTATGTGTTCAGCTTGCTTATAGCTAATAGGTACCTGTTTATATATTTTGTATCTTATTTACTTCACAGCTTGGTTTATTTTATTCTGATTTGTGCCAAGGGTAGAGCTTAACACCTCCCTTCCCAATCCAAAGCCAAAAGGATCCTAGTGCTCTCTTGCTATATAGCTCAATATACTGTATAGCTGAGTGAGTTGGGTGTATGACTTGGGAGCCAGAATTTGGCAGTTTGACTGTGCCTCCTGGGAGAAAAGACAGCCTGTATCGTCTGAGGTCCCTCGTGCCGCTATGAGTTGCCTGCTAATTTCCAGGGAGGAAATGAAAGAAGGAACAAAGCCAGATGGTTGTCTGGAAACACAAGGTCTTCTGGCCTCCTTCAGCTCCTCACAATGCCACCGTTCCCATTACAATTAAATTGTGTAATTTTCCCCATCCCATTTTGTCAAGTAGGGTAATGCACCTATGGATGTGAAATCCCAGTACATCCACCTAAATCCAGTGATCATCCAGAAAGAAGCAAATCAAAGGAAGGAGAGGAGGAGGAGCTATAAAATTAATTTGTGTAATTTTCTCCATTCCATTTTGTCAAGTAGGGTAATGCACCTATGGATGTGAAATCCCAGTACATCCACCTAAATCCAGTGATCATCCAGAGGAGGAGGAGCTATAAGTGACCCATGTGCAACAATGACCGACTTTGCCCTTAGTTCTTTCTTCCCCTATTAGTGACCCCTGTTCTTTTTGCAGCACCCTTCCATTAGCACATCACAGAAAGAACCTTGAAACTCATTGGACCTCTCACTGTTCTCTGTTTGACTTAACCTACAAAGTTGTTGTGATGGTTAGGAGGGGAGGAAGAGACCTCTGTATATCCCCATAGGCTTATTGAAAGAAGAAAGCAAGAGATAGATAGATAGATAGATAGAAAGATAGATAGAGAGAGAGAGAGAGAGAGAGAGAGAGAGAGAGTGTCATTGCTCATGTAGAACGCCCAAGCCGTTCAACAAAGAAAACATGAACAAGAATATGGTGATCATGTCGTATTTATTATATTCCCCCAAGAGGCTTTCAAAACAAAATAAACAGAATCAGGAACAGCAATATTACAATGTCCACATGGTGGCATTGGCAGGATCACAGAGGCAGATAGCAGTTCACCCTCTGTTGTGGCCAAATTGAGTTTGGAAATTATAGTGTTGGCGTGATGAGACAGACAGGACTGAGGTGAAAAACAACACCATGAGGATGATGTACAGAATGATGAAAGCAATGCCCAATCCCAAGGCAGTGTGGTTCAAGGTCTGGGCCTTCCTGGAGTTTCTCCGAGCTGCTGCATAGTCTCTGTTGTGGTTGTCTTGCCGAGTCTGCAGAGGAAAAGGAAGAAGAAGTAGAGGAATGAGAGATGGGGGGAAAGCAACAGAAGAACCTGTCTGATGGGATGCAGAAGTGGCCGGTCTGAGAAACAGATGCCCTTTCATCTCACACAGTTAGGCACTTAGCAGTGATTGTGGGGAACCTATCGAGACTTGAGTGCCAAGCTTAAGTTTCTGTGTGAAACTCAAGGATTCGTTTGGGCCAAAGCTTGAAAAAGTTCCTTTCTTTGGATTTCGGTTTCTGGAATTCCCCAACCAGAATAGCCGGGGAATACCAGGGGCCAAGATTTTTTTTTAAAAAGAGGAACTTTCCCAGGCTTTGCCGAAATTAATCCTTGAGCTGTACAATTTCTTTGTTTATCTCAGCCATGCAAGATGGGGGCTGTCTATAAAGTACAACACGTTTTCAAAGTGGTTTCGTTATTTTATATATAGGGCTGATACGAGCCTTCGCAAACACACTCCTAAAAACCTTAGGTCTACAATCACAAATCATATCTCACAAAATATCTTAAAATGACGACGACAACAAACGACCAAAGATAATAGCAAGCTCACAGTCGGTCCCACCATGTATTTTAATGTGTCACTGGAGAGTTTCCAGTGGAGACCAAGATCCACACTATTGTATTTCCAGTCCCCATTTAGAGGTGTGAAAGCTGGACATTTAAGAAAGCTGACAGGATACCTTGGACTACCAGAAAGACAAATCGGTGGGTTCTAGATCAAATCAAGTCTGTACTGTCTTTGAAAGCAAAAATACTAAAGCTGAGGCTGTCCTATTTTGGGCACATCATGAGAAGGCAGGATTCTCTGGAAAGACAATAAAGGTGGGAAAGGTGGAAGGCAGCTGGAAAAGAGGAAAACCAAATACAGTGGTGCCTCGCATTGCGATGTTAATTCGTTCCAGCGAAATCGCTGTTGAACGAAAACGTTGCAATGCGAAATAAAAAAGCCCATAGAAACGCATTAAAACGCGCTTAATGCTTTCCTAGGGGCTTCAAACTCACAGTTCAGCGAAGATCCTCCATAGTGTGGCCATTTTCGCTGCCTGTTAAGCGAGGAATCTGTCCCAGAAAACAGCGGGCGGCCATGTTTTCCCCCCGGCGGCCATTTTGAAAATGCCAATCAGCTGTGCGAAAATGGTCACTTTGCGAAAATACCCCATGGGGAACATCGTAAAGTGATCGCTTTTACGATCGCAAAAAGTTTGTTGCAAAGCGATTTCGTCGCTAAACGGAGCGCTCGCTAAGTGAGGCACCACTGTACAAGGTGGACTGACTCGCTGAAAACTTGTGTTTGCAACAACTGAGGATGGCTGTTGAGGACAGGACACTATGAAAATCACTTGTTCATAGGGGCCCCATAAGTCAAGCACATAACAAAAAATATTTCTGGAGTCATCAGTGCAGGACTGGGTTTGTTGAAAAACAAATATTCCATCTGTTCAGTTGGTTGCTAAATATGAGTACTGGTGAGCTAAAGTAGAAGGGACTTCACCTATAGCATGATGAGGAGCTACACCCTGGTGTGCTCTCACTTTGTCACTTTTCCTCACTGAATGGGGGAAGAGTGATTAATTCTGGATCCTCCCATTGTCCTTGATGTTTGTCATAAAAGGTGGAGACAGAAGCCTTTGAATTACGAGAGGGTGTGTGCAATGGTGGGCATTGTGTAACCCTTGAGCTGTTGCGGGAATCCAACTCCAATCAGAATGAGCCATAATAGCAAAAGATGAGGGAGTAATGGGAACTGTAGTCCTGCAACGGCTGGAGGACCACACTGACATTTTCCAGGCGATTAATAAATGAAAATCTACCATAAGCTCATCATTTGCAGATGCAAGCCATACACCATGCACAGTGCCAGAAGGCATTATAGTCTACATTTCATCAAGAGGATTCTGTCCTGTTTGTTTTTTGTTGGTTGTAAAAACAAGGTGTAAGGGAGCTGTGCAACCTCAAAGGCAAAATTATTTTTGCATTTGAGTTTTTAAGAGTCATTTAAAGACCTGTCTCTTTAGGCAGGCCTTCCCTCCAGTCAACACCTGATTTTCTTTTCTCTTTAGTTTTTTCCTCCATCTTGATCTTCTAATTTGCTGATTTAATTATGCAATTGTTTTATATATATTTTGATGATTCTATTTGATTGTATTTTATAATGTTGTATTCTTGTTTGTATGCCGCCCCGAGTAGACTCTGTCTAGAGGGGCGGGGTAGAAATAAAATAAAATAAAATAAAATAAAATGAATGAATGAATGAATGCGGATGATAGTGAATGCCTGGTTACTGCAAATATGGCTTTTTAGTTTAATATACTGTATAATATAATATTCACATCATATTTTTGCCTCTTCTCGATAATGATTTTGGTCAGCGGTGTGGCAGGATCCATAGCAGCATTGATAAATAACCATTCAGTGAATGACGATCAAATGATAAAACACATGCCATCAAGTCAATTCTGACTTACAGTCACCCTTTTTCAAGATTTTTCAGTTAGAGAATACTCAGAAGCGGTTTACTACAGTGGACCCTCTACTTACGGAATTAATCCGTATTGGAACAGTGGCTGCAAGCTGAAAAGTCTGTAGGTCGAATCTCCATTGACCTACAATGCATTGAAAACCGATTAATCCCATAACCAGCGGGTTTTATTCTATTTTTGTTCCATTTTCGTTTTTTTCTGGTCTGTAAGTCGATTCTCTGGCTGCAAGTCGAATCTAAATTTTGTGGCCAGAGAAGTCTGTAACTCGAAAAGTCTGTAAGTCGAGCCGTCTGTAAGTTGAGGGTTCACTGTATTCCCTTCTTCTGGAGATGACGTGGGACTGTGCAATTTGCCCAAGGCCACCCCGGCTGGCTCTACTTGCAGGAGACCCTGTGCGGAATCGAATTCCCAACTTCTGGCTCCACAGCCAGATACCCAAACCACTAAATAGTTAATTGAGTTAGGTATCTCGCTGAGGAGCCAGAGATTGGAGTTCAGTTCCCCTCTGTGCCCCCCAGGAGAGCAAGCCTGTGCAACCTATAAGTCAGAATTGACTTGACAGCACACAACAACAACAATATGAAGCAGGCAAAGACCTTTCTCTTGAGGCAGGCTTTTCCTTAATGACTAGTGGCCAGAGAGGGCTTTTTAAATGGATTGTTGTGCTCTGTTGTTTTAAATACTGTATGTTTTAGTATTGATTTCATTTACCGTTTCTCATATAATACTTGTTTAATCCTTTTTTTACTATGTGCATCCTTACTGTTTTTAGCTTTTAAACATTCTCTTTTTAACAATGTAAGCTACCCTGAGCCCTTTTTAAGAAGAAAAGTGGAATAATATATTTTAACTTACTTGATAAATAAATAAATAAATAAATGGTTTTTCGCACCATAAGACGCACTTTCCCCCCACAAAACAGGGGGGTGGAAAGTTTGTGCGTCTTATGGAGCGAAGAAAACAGATTATATTTTCCTGTTTTCTTCTCCTAAAAAATTGGTGCGTCTTATGGAAAGGTGCGTCTTATGGAGCGAAAAATACGGTAAATAAATGGTGATCTAATTCATCCCCATTCTTATTTGCAGTGAATGTCTCCCTATCGCCAAATTCCAAATGTAGAGAAGGTCGCAACAACGTTTGAATTCCAGGATAAGTTGTGCTCAAACAACACCCCGTCATTTGTTTGTGAGACAGGGTTTATTTTTGCACAACCTTGTATTGATTCTTCTTTTGAAATTCTCGTCCTTGTTCTGTGCTTGATAATTTTACCTTTGCCAGGTGGGGTTTTGTTTTGGTCTGTTTACTTAGGACAGAGGTCCAGCTGACGAATCCCTCAGCTTCTGTCATAGCCAACTAACTGAGATGGGCCTCTTTTTAAGAAGTGATTATCAAGTAAACCCTGGAAAGAGTTGCTATAAGTCAGAATCAACTCGACAGCACACAATTGTTATTATTAAATAATAATTATGAGATTCAACTGAGAATTTAGTGAGAAGTTCCAGCCATTCGGGAGTACAAGGATTTGGTTCATCTTATGGTATCGCTCTGCAACACATACCATCGCTGGGTATCTGCCACAGACCAATAGCTTGTAACAGTCAGATGGTATATTTTCAGCAGTTATTTGGCTTTAAGGAATGGGAATGGAAAGAATTTGCAGTAACTAGCTGGTTGTGTAGGAGACAGGGACCAGCTACTTTCAAAAAGCCACCTCTCCAAATTTTCATTTTCATCCCTGCTCCAAAACTGGGCTTAGTTTTCTCTCAAGTTTTACTGCAGCCACCCAAGCCCATAAGAAGCATGTTTTTCTACAGAACTATTGACTCCAGGATTCTGGCCCAAACCTATACATTTCCATCAGATCTTATGGGAAAAAAAATCATTTTTTTAAAAAAAACTAGAACTCCCAGAACCCACCAGCAGCTTGTAGTTCAAATAGGCACCTTCTCTAAGCTGTGGGCCTTGCACATTTGAAACGTTCCCACCACCAGCGCTTAATTCCTGACCTGAAGATTTCTCCAAGATGGAGCCTCCATCATCTGACACTGCTATAATAGTATCCTACTGTTTTCACTTTGCGCAATGTTTAATAAACAAAATTGATCTGTAGTAGTTATGTTCTCTTTACATGGAAAGGCAGCTGGCTGGCCTGTCATCTTGCTTAATGTACTCACCTGTATAGAGAACACCAGGGCAGCGATACCCAAGGGTAAGCAACAGCAAAGCATGGTGAATATGGAATAACCCAGGAAATCAGGGGAAGGAGTGGGCTCGGGTTCCGGGACGATGACCGTCAGTGGTACATGATGAATGGGAGGACCTTGGTTGCCTCCTGCACCAGGCTGGTTGTAATAAGGAGGATATTGAGGAGGTGGTCCGTAGCCCATGGAGGGGGTTGGCTCAGTCGGAGGTTGTAGCAAACCGGTTGTGGCCGAAGGATGTTTTTCATAGTCAGGGGGAAGATTCATCTTGTAGGTTCTCACTCCTTCCTTCCACCTGCAGTCTGTCCTCCTTTCTTAGTTGTCCTCGTCTTTGCTGGCAGAAGCAGCCTCTCTCCTTCTCTCTCTGTGGCAGGATCCGTCTTTTTCGTTTGCCTTCCTGCCCCAGGAATCCACAGGAAAGCTCTTGGTGATCTTCTTTCAGGTTGATGCTTGCTTGCTTTAGGACAGCAGTGTCTTGGCTGTGGTTAAGGGACTCTTGTCAGGGGGACTTTATATGTGGCTAGAATTAGGCAATGAATAACCCTTATAGATGGATGTTGGGTGTGGCCGCTCAGGTTGAAGAAGCAGGAGGAGGTTTTCCTGAGCACGAATCCTTTAATCTCACTTCCACTAGGAATGCATTCTCCTGCCATCTGCTACTTCACAGCTGGGCAAAATAAACAGGCTATTGTTTGTTGTTTCATTTCATTTCAACTTATATACCAGCCCATTGAGTCTCTGGGCAGTGTACAATAAGCAGGCAACAAGAAAAATAAATAAATACAAACAATACATACATACACATCAATAGACAAATTATTCAGCCAATCGGTCAGTCAAACAACTCTCCAGCTGACCTATCCTTAAAGGCAGCTTTAAACAGTTCTGTTTTCACTGCCTTCTTAAAAACTGCAAAGGAAGGAGCTTGGCCAACCCCTGCTGCAAGTTTATTCCAGAGGTTTGGGGCCACACCTCTGGAATAAACTGGAAATAAGTACTGTATTCATAAAATGTGCAAGCTTCCTCAGTTATGTATTCTCAAAGGCTTTCACGGCTGGGATCTGATGGTTGTTGTGGGTTTTTCGGGCTCTTTGGCCATGTTTCGAAGGTTCTTCCTAACGTTTCGCCAGTCTCTGTGCCCGGCATCTTCAGAGGGCAGGAGTCAGAACTCTCTCTGCGCTCTGGTGCAGTTTGTTCAGATAGATGAGTATGTATACGTGTGGGATCTGCTTTTGTCCTTTTCAGGAGATGGGTGCTTGTGGTGATCAGTGTTTTTTTTGTTATAGGTGTATTGTTGTGATAAGAGGGAGATATTATTTGTCACTGTGATTGATGGGCATCATTAGCTGGTCACTGCACACAAAAGACCAACTAACGACACCCATCAATCACAATACACAATCACAAAGCTTCTTAGGGCAGCACTAAATATAGAACTCTACAATAATTGGACTGTACCTGCTGTATCTCCCAAGTATATTTTCCTCCTTACCAAATCCACTTTCAAAGGTAACCAGAGAGTCTTCACTCATTATCATGTTGTTCCTGCTGTCATCTATTACTGGAGGTGATTCGCCCACCATTGTTGCTGTTTAGAAACTATGCCAGGGGTTCCAACACCCTTTTTCTATACTAAGCTTCAATGCAAAAGATCTGAACATTGAACAGAAGTCACTGCCCTGTTGTGAAATACAGATGGACTCACACAATTTGCAACTTACTAACCAAACAACCACTATCTCTATATTTGGTAGACATGTATAAATGTATTATTAAAAAATATTTGCCATTGTACACCATTACAAAATGCTGTGCTTTCTGTTTTTTTTAAACCCGATTGTTTTGGTTTTTTAAGTAAGTAAGTAGCTCACATTAAAATGTAACCGCTTTTAAGGTACCACAAACATTGTGTGTGTTTTTTAAATCTTTTGTTTTTGCCTGGAATTCTAAAAGCTAGTGAATTTTCAAGTAATTTTGTCTGAAACAGGTGGATTTTTCATGAAAATTAATCTTTCGGAATTTGGATATCCTGATTGGGTAGTTGAATTTTTCTTTCTAGAAGTCAGAAAGTTCATTTACACTCAGGAAACATTATGCCCGTTTCCTTGATTTGAAGAATTTTAATCTGTATTATCCGCATTTAGAAAGCAATGGCTGGCAAAGTGGACAACCATCAATCCCACACTTGTGTGGTTGGCAGAAAGGAAGGAATGTTTCTGACGTTTTGTGTATCCAAACTCTTTCTTCCAGAGTATACACCCCCCCTTTTTTTAAAAATAATGCCTACCCTTTAATTCAGCATAAGGCTGGCTGGATACTCAACAAGTTAGGTATCTGGCTGTGCAGTCAGAGGCTGGGAGTTCGATTCCACAGTGGGCCTCCTGGGAGAATAGCCAGCCTGGGTCACCTTGGGCAAGCTGCACAGTCTTAGGGCGCCCCCTGGAGGAAGAGAATTGTCAACCACATCTATGTATTTCCTACCTGGAAAGCCCCAAAAGGTCACCATAAGTCAGAACTGACTTGAAAATGTATGATTGTTACTATTAGTTCAGCATGGCTGTCCATTTAAGCTATCCAGAGATGAGGTGTTTAGATCAGGGACACAGCTGGGGCATTTCTGAAGGTACATCTTTTTATTCTTTTTTTCCCCAAACTCTTCACTAATGTTTGCCAATTTTTAACTTATTTGCCAGAAATCTACACTGGTATTGTTCAGAAATAAAGCAGACGCCTTTAAAGCATGCCGACTTGCGAGCGCCAGTTTAAGTCTAGATTTTCCTAGTAAGCCTATCACAGCAAGCCAATTAAATTAAAAGGATTGTATTCTAAGAGGTACAGATGCATTTATGTACATTCACAGGCGATTCATTGTTTTTATTGATGCACACCCTTCCTTCTATTCAAGATTATATTGGGGTGGGAATAGCAGTATAAGTACCTTGAAAGGAGGTGGGGCAGTTGAATATACACTGTTACACATATTCCATATGCCACAAAGCACAGGACAAGAGGGTTGTAAAAATCTCATTTAGATCACGGCCATGCCCATCCTTCCACCTTGAAAGTAGAAGGAGGTAGAATTCAAGGATACAGGGTGGGGAGGAAGATCCCATGATTCCACAGATTTTGCTGCAGTCAAATTCCCCACAGTGACTTGGGATAATGGGCACCGTGTTCTGAAAACATCTGGAGAAACACTGATTTTCCTCCTTGACCTCTCTGGGCAATATCCCATGAAACTTCCTGGGATACTCCAGGACTCTGTTCTAAATGCATTAATTTTCATCACTGTGTTCACAGGCTTAAATATCGGAATAAAAACAACCTTCATCAGGTTGCAGAACTTAGAAACAGAACAATGGCCCATGTAGACCAGTATTCTTTTCACAGAGTGACCCACAAACAATGATAATTTCTGGGAAGCCACTGAACCAGTAGCCATGCCATTTCCCTTTAGCTTCAGCAACGTCGTGGAGATAGCACCTTCCCGAAATTCTGTTGCACCCCTGTTTGAAAAGGAGATGATCCGCAGCCAGTTTGTAACCCAGCATTCTGCAACTTTATGCCTTCTCATTGTGCTTGATGACAACGTGCACCAGCCCCCATCAGCATGGTCAATTCCTATGCTGACTGGGGATGATGAGAATTGTTACCCAATGCATCTGGAAGATGGAAGGCTGGAAAGACTTGCCTAACCACTGAGCTTCCCTAGAAGAAACAGGTGTCTGCAAATCCCTAGGAAGGGTTATCTTCCAGTTGACCACTGTGCTGCGTAAGCTGCCGTACCAGTGGGAAATGGGCTTGTGTGTTTAATCACCGATTATTGTAAAGGTTAATCATATTTAAAGGGAAACGTCAATTGGAATACATTGTTCCTTAGGCAACAGTCTGTGGTCACGCTGAGAAGTTGCTATTAATGTATGCTGTACTACCAGAAGTTGGAAAAGTTATTTTCCTTCCCCTTCAGGGGACTTTGAGAGATTTTGCAGATCAAAATGATAATCTCCCAGCCTACATGTTACTTATGCTTCTGCCCTATAGGGATCCTTAATTCTTCTGTGGATCCAGAATGTTTTCCAGCTGCTCTTTGTCCTGGAGGCAGCCGTCAGGCAGGGGAAGGGGTGGAGCGGCTGTGTCGTGGCCTTATTTACAGTGGTTAAACAAAAATGAATATGGCAGCCAAAATGCTAGAGAAGGGAGCAAAGAGCAATGCTGAAGTCTTTGCTTCCTGTTCCGTCTGCAGATTCATATAGGAGATGGAGATGTTACACAAGAAAGAGACTCATGAACTTGCTTCTGGTCGTATTGTCTTCCTGGAACACCAGAGCTACTGGACATGAGTCATACCACTTTCATCCCCCAAATTCCTGGAACCCAGGAGCTACCAAACTATGAGCCATTCCTCTGTTAGGGGAGAGTCATCCTGAAACTTTACAGAGTGACAGGTGGAACACCTTAAAAAGCATCCAAAGACACATAGGTAGGGTCGATAAAACAATTGGCAGCTCTCCTTCTACAAGGACACTAGATAAGGCCAACTTTTCTCAACCCAGCACCCTCCCGATGCTCTCAGTTACAAGATCCACCAGCCCTGCCAGTTAGGTTGCTGCTGAAAATGATGGGAGTTGTATTACAAGAAGTCTGGAGAGGGCTGGGTTGGGGAAGGTTGATACAGACCACCATAATAGAAAAGAGAAGGGTGGGGAGGGGTCTTCTTTATCAGTATTATAGATCAACTCAGATCTATAGGCATGTTTGTTGGCAACAAGATTCCAGATTAGAAAACTGGAAAGTGTGGAGTGTTGTCATTTATAGGTTATGGAGAGCAAGTATATATGTGTACACGGTAGATATCCCAACCTTATTCTACTGATGTTACTGCAAAGTTATAACACTTCCTAGCAAAATGATGGACAGTGGATCACATAATGTACTTTTTGTTCTGTCGACTATTAACTCGTCTTCTCAAAATCCACACAAGTAGCTCTTTGTGATCAGCAAATGGGCCAACATCCAAGGACATACACATAAACTTTTGGTCTACAGTATTTGTTCTGTGACTCCTCCATAGCACTCTTCAAGCCAAGAGGTGGGGAAGGGAAGGGCATCCCTAAGGGACTGCCCTTCTTTGGTTTCCTCTAATCTTGTGCAAATCGCTTCCTCCCTACACAAGTTTCTAAAAAGAATGGCTGGATTCTTCAAGCCAAGAGGTGGGGAAGGGAAGGTCATCCCTAAGGGACTGCCTTCTTTGGTTTCCAATAATCTTGTGCAAATCACTTCCTCCCTACACGTTTCTAAAAAGAATGGCTGGAGGGCTAGTGTTCTTCTATCAAAACTTGGCAAAGTTTCTTTTCCGAAAGGAAGCACTCCAGAGCCTTCAGGCAGCATTGGAATTTTCTGAACTAGGGGATTCTGGAGGTTGCAGTCCAAAGATGCTTCTCTGCCAGCCTCCTGGAACAACATCATGCAAGCCTGGCATGTGCAACCCTTGTCACATTTCCAAGCGCCT